CATTACTGTGTGTAGTTCCCCTGCCCCCAGTGAAGGGAGGGCTCATACTGCGGTTCATCTCGTTCACTTGCTGCCATGAGTGGGAAAGAACAAGGTGCTTTACAACTAGCGGCTGTGATTGCTTCTGTCCTCAAAGCTGTTTTATCTCCTATCTGCCTGCGATCTGGGTTCCCACTCGAATGTCCGGGGAGCTTCATCCACCGTATTGGGATGTAGAAAAAAAAATTGAGACCTTCTAGCCTAGGAATAAAACACCAACTTCTTAGTGCAGACTATGGACCTCTCTCTTCTTAACGTTTTCCTCGTTTTCCACGCAGAGTCAAAACAGCCGCATCTGGCCCTCTCAAGATTCCTCCCTCACTGGATCCTGTCTTCTCTGCCTGAATGCCCATTCCCACCCTGCCTCCATCACCCCATAATCCACCAGGTTCCCCTTTCCTTGTCCTTTAGGTCATCACGAGTACGGGTCCTTCCTCGCTCTCCACATGGGGCCGAGCCTGTCCTCTCGTGCTCCCCTGGTGTCTTACTGTGGGGATTGTGTAGAATGGTTTAGAATTGCTGTGCTGATAATACTGTATACAGACATTCTTGTAAGGAACTTGAGAGAAGTTTTCCCAGAATTGACAACAGTCCTGAAAGTTTACATGACTCTACCAATAATGGGAAGTGAGCTGAAAGAAAACAAACTTTTCTCTGTACTATCAGAAAGGGTCATCATTACGCTAAAGAGAAGACTAAGTTATCTCTGTATTCTTTGTATTTTTTTTTAGAGATGATATTATGGAATTGTTATAGAAGAGTTAATCAAAGAGTATGCAGGCAAAAGTTTAGAAAGAAACGTATTAGAGAGGTGTGTCAGACAGTTAATGCTTCATTACTTTTCGAAATTTTATATTATCACATTTGTTAGATATAAAAATTACTACTTTTGATTTATTTTCTCATTCTAAATTCACTTCTTTTTAAAAAAATATGTTTTTATTGATTTTTTAGAGAGAGAAGGCTGAGAGCAATAGAAACATTAATGTGAGAGAGATACATCGATCACCCCCTGCTGGGGATCGAGCCCACAACCTGGGCATGTGCCCTGACCAGGAATCACACCAGGACCTCTCAGTCCATGGATGATGCTCAGTCCGCTGATTCACACTGGCCAGTCTAAATTCACTTTCTTTTTAAAATTTTTTATTTATTGATTTTACAGAGAGAGTTGTTGTTCCACTTATTTATGTATTCATTGGTTGCTTCTTGTATGTGCCCTAACCACAGGGATCAAACCCACAACCTTGGCATATCAGGGTAATGCTCTAACCAGCTGAGCTTCCCAGCCAGGGCTTCTAAATTCACTTACCTACTCAATTTTTTTTATTCATAAATTTGTATTCTTTGTCAAAATCAGAACTCCAGTACTGTATGACCTTCAGGCCTAAAAAATTGTCCATCTCTGCTCATAAATTACAAAAATTATCAGTTCAGCTTTATTGTGATAAAAATCTATTTATACATCTGTGGCATGAATTACATTGGGAAGTTTTGAGTTTAAAAGAATTAAAGATTGCCCTGGCCGGTTTGGCTCAGCAGTTAGAGCATTGGCCCGCGGACCAGAAAGTCCCGGGTTCAGTTCCCGCTAAGGGCACGTACCTCAGTTGCTGTTTGTTCCCAGCCCCGGTTGGGGTCATGTAGGTGGCAACTAGTCGATGTGTCTCTCTCACGTCAATGTTTCTCTCTCTCTCTTCCCCCCTCTCTCCCTCCCACTCTATCTGAAGATAAATGCAAAAATGTCCTCAGGTAAGGATAGAAAAAAAAAAAAGAATTAAAGATGTGTAAGCATAGGGGGATGTTTTATATATTACCTTACCAGGTAACTAATCCTAAAGTAAAAATTTAATCACACTCTAATTATAAGCTTTGTGACCAGTTTTTATTCTTGAAAAATTTAGATTAAGTAGCTGATAATTACATAATTATTCAAATTGTCAAAAGAAGCAACACATCAAAGGAGACATGTGCTGGAATAAGTTTAGATATCATAAGTACAGAACATACATGGATGAATTCTTTCTAAGTAAACTACTAAGAGCAGTCAACTTAATCCATCACGAGAGGGGAATTGAAGGGCTTTTATTGCAGTTCAGCGGTAACCAGCTCCAGGAATAAACTGTTCTGCTATGTTAACATGTAGATATTTTAACGTCAATGTTTACACTTCTCCGTTTTAATTTTCTTGAGCTTCCTATCTCTTTTTATAAACCTTTAAGTATAATTCTTTTATTAGCATACCCTAAGGCATCTTTGAAAAATGATGTCACAGGAAACATCCATTAGAAATGAGAGTTCAAGTCCAGCTGGTGTGGCTCGGTGGATTGAGCGGCGTCCCATGGACTGAGAGGTCCCGGTTCGATCCTGCTGAGAGCACATGCCTGGGTTTTGGGTTTGATCCCCGGTGGGGGGGGAGGCATGTAGGAGGCAGCCAATCGATGTGTCTCTCGCATCGATGTTTCTAGCTCTCCCTCCCTTCCTCTCTCTCTAAAAAAAAATCAATAAAAACATAACAAATATTAAAAAGAAAAAGAAATGAGAGTTCAAGTCCCTTGGCTAGCTAAGCAGATCAGAGCCTACAGGTGTGCTCTATCATCACCTTCCAACCGAGTAGAATTACAGCCTAGATTTGTCTTTAATTGTTCTCAGTATCACATCATGGAGATTATATACTAAGCACAGGCATGGTAAAGGGGTTTCTGTAAGGAGTCCTGCCTGACAGGGTAGTGGTGACCAGCCAGCTTAGCAGAGTAGACAGCGGGGGTGGCTGTGGCCTCTGCTGAGGGTCCTCACATCAGAGCTGGAGCTTGTGGTGGGAAAGACTAAGGCCAGAGGTGGAGAATAGAGGGTATGTCCTGAACACTGAAAAAGAAAGGTGCAGGTAGCTGTTTAAGATCTGACATAGTCTACGTAAACTTCAATCAGAAGACAATAAAAATGTAGGTTAGGCCCTGGCTGGTTTGGCTCAGCAGTTAGAGCGTCGGCCTGCGGTCCAGAGAGACCCGGGTTCGGTTCCCGCTAAGGGCACGTACCTCGGTTGCAGTTTGTCCCCGGCCCTGGTTGGGTTGTGTGGGTGGCAGCCACTCGATGTGTCCCTTTCATGTCGATGTTTCTCTCTCTCTCTCTCTCTCTCTCTCCCCCTCCCTCTCTTCCTCCCTCCCTCTCTCTCCCTCCCACTCTACCTGACAAAAAATGGAAAAATGTCCTCGGGTGAAGATTAAAAAAAAAAAATGTAGGTTAATAGTCTTAGAAATGAATTCGTAAAATCACCAAATTGAAACCTCACACCTAACCAGACATCTGAAGCCCCAATAGTTATAAGAATATCATTGCATTTAATATGCTAATAAAATAATTTTTATACCTATTTTGTTTCTCAAATCTTAGATGAAAATATTAAAACCCATCTGCCTAGAACATTGATTTTGAAATTAACTCTTTACTACTTGAATTACTTTTTGATATAAAGTAGCATTTGTTTTTACTCAGTTTGACTCTATATACTATTGGTGTTTAATTTGAGTAGAAATTGTGTGGTGTAATAGAGAAGAGATGTCTGTAAATGCATTACTTCTTCAATTCAGAGCACTGTTTATATACAATCGTGATAACAACTGGGGCCGCTTTAGAGAAGTGGGCCCCTTGTCTTGAACCTCTAGAGGGTCTGAAATAAGTTAAAGACACAAGAGTTTGCTCACCCTAAGTTGAATATGAGTGCAGCAATGAGAGAAGTACCCCAATATGGTCATGATTTTATTAGGATACTTTCAGGAAACAAACTCATTCAAGGTGCAGCCATTTTTTTTAATCCTGGAAAATTGCTAGAAAGTAGAGAGATCCAACAAAAACACTGGATCATGATTATCTGAACATCCAGGTCTTAGAAAGGCAGAAACCAGGTCAGTTCAGGGGACTTCATCTGAGGAAAGTGGCCGTTCTTGCTAGTCCTCTGCTACTTACGTGACTTATCCCATCTACATACGCTGGTTTCTTTCCATTCTGCTCCCAAGTGACTTCCTCTCCAAAATCCCAGCAAAAGTGTTTGATGGGCTCTTTGCCTATTCTATGGATGGACTGTTCCTGCTGGGTTAGGTGCAGGCTGCTGTCTGGGAGGCGAGGTCTCCTGACACGCGGCTGGACTGCCGTGCTAGAACTGGGAGCATGGCAGGCTGAGCTAGGGGAGGAAGTTACCAGAGTAAATAGCTGATATATTGAACTAATAAATAAACTCATAAAGAAAGCTATTCTGTATGCTGTGTTAATAGAAGCCTTTGTGGGAGAGATGGCATTTATATCACATTATAGAGGTTGGGTAGGATTCAAAGGTCAAGAGCAAATAGATGAAGAAGGGGGAAGTTCTAGGTAGTGGAGCAGTTTGAGCCAACACGCACAGGTCATTCTGTCTTAGAGCTAGCTCCTCAGTGTAGCTGTGCCAAATCGCCCAAGTGACTCGGGTCAGTGCCTGGACTCCAACCCAGATTGATTGTAACAGAATCCTTAGAGTTTGTGTTCAGATCATTTGCAATTTTTAGAAGTTTCCCAGATTATTTTGATGCAGAGATGGTTGAACCTTGGACAAGCTAGAAGGAAAACTACATTATGAATTGGTGAAATAAGGTTGGAAAAAACATTAGAACAAGACTGGGCTGGTTTTCTATTATCAGGCTAAGGAGTTTCTGGACTGTATCTTGTACCGTAAAGTGGAGCCACCAAGTTTTAGATTTTAACCGTTTCCACCTTTTTCTGAGCCCAGTGTAGTTGCATCTATTCACATTCCTTTCAGGGCAGTAGACGGGGGAAGGAAAGTTGTGGGGTCTAAGTGTGTGTACCACCCTTGGTACTTTCTGAGGATATTGTTTATTCCTTGTTTCTTCTCTGTGGGAGTAGGTGTTCTAATTCCAGATTTATTTTTATAAACAGACTATGTTAAAGTCTTTGTAACAATTGTTTCTCCTCCGTAGGGGAGTTGGCTGCATCTTTGTTGAAATGATCCAAGGAGTGGCTGCTTTTCCAGGAATGAAAGACATTCAGGATCAACTTGAACGAATATTTCTGGTAAGTTCTTTACGGAATGCTTTTGAGAAAAAGTATTTTCTAGTTCATCCTTTAGTGACACATTCCACAGGGGTAGTGGAAAATTATTGTAAACAAATTTATTGGTTGTCAACGTTTAATGTTAACCTATTTTGGACCTTTGAAAAGGCAGAAAATTAATGATTATGTTTTTAAACTACTGCACATTAATAAATTGGCAAAATGGTCAGAAAGGACAGGATGTCAGAGGATGTAGAATAGTGGGTGAAAATGAGAGCGCAAACAGAAAAATTGCGAATAATTCATATGAATAAATCCCCCTTCTTAACTCCCTCCCATCTCCACCCCTGTAAGTGGGGGCTGTGATCAGTCGCTTTTCCCCATAAAGTAGAGCACAGAAAGAGGCTGAGGGGAGAAGAGGATAGTAACTTTAAAATGGGGAAACCAGGTAAACATACCTCAGCCAGGTCTTCAAGGTTGTTATTATCAAAGAGATGTCATGTTGGTAGCATGTACCCTTGATACAATGTATTGAGAATGACACTTCACTTCTGTGATCTTTCTCCCAAAGCCATAACCACAGTTTGATCATGAAAAACACATCACACAAACCCAAATTGAGGGGCATTGTACACAATAGTTGAGTAGTACTCTTCAAAATTGTCAGGGTCATCAAAAACAAGGACAGTCTAAGAAACTGTCACAGCCCAGAGGAGGCTACAATGACAAGACAACTCCGTGTGTGGTGGTGCCCTGGATAGAATCCTGGAACACACCAAGAACATTAGGAATGAAAAGGAGGGTGCGCGGTGTAGTTAACATCAGCATACCAATGTGTGCTTCTCGGTTTTGACAAACGTTCCATGTGCTGTAAGATTTTAACAGGAAGGGAAACTGGTGAGGATATACAGGAACTCTCTCTACCGTTTTTTGTAACTTGTCTAAAGCTATTCTAAAATTTAAAATATCTAAAAATTTTAAATATGCAAAAAATAAAAATAAAATGTGTTCTAGAACCAGATGATCTGGGTTTATCACCTGCTCTGTCACCTTGGGCAAGGGACTTAGCTCTCTGAGCTTCAGTTTTCCCATTGGGAAAATGAGCAGTGACAGGAACACCTACTCCATAGGTCATTTTCAGGAATAATTGCCCAAATACACATAAAATGCTTTTAGAACTATGCCCGACACATAGTAAATATCCTGTTGATTTTCTGTCTGCAAGATTTATCCATTGATGTCGATGGGATGTTAAAGTCCCCTCCTGTGACTTACTGTCCATCTCTCCCCTAATGGCCATCAGTATTTGCTCTATGTATTTGAGTGCTCCTGTGTCGGGTGTGTGTTTACAAGGTTATAGCCTCTTGTTGGATTGATCCTTTTATCATTATGCAGTGTCCTTCTTTGACTCTTATCATAACCTTTGTTTTGAAATCTATTTGGTCTGATATAAATATTACCACTCTAGCTTTTTTTTTTTTCCTGTTTCCATTTTTATGAAATATCCTTTTCCATTCCTTTACTTTCAGTCTGTGTGTGTCTTTTGATCTGAAGTGAGTCTGTACTAAACATCGTATGCAGGGTGGGGCAAAAGTAGGTTTACAGTGTTTGTATGGAAAATAGTACAATGGTTAAATAATAATACAAGAATAAACTCTGTTTTGCATACTCACAGCTGTAAACCTACTTTTGCCCCACCTGGTATATGAGTCTTGTTTTGTAACCACTTCTTTTCAATTCTGCTTATTATTTGTTATCCATAAATTCTCACACAGAATAATAAAACAATGTTTTATGGTTATAATAATAATGCATCTTTATAATGGAAGATTCCCACAATATCAAAAAGTATAAAAGTTGAAAAATCACCCTTTGTTCTACCCAGAGAAAATCACATTTAGTATTTTGATATATATGTCCTCCATCTCTATACATGTTAAGAATATTGGATCATGTGTACTGTTTTGTAACTTTTTTTTTCACTTAACAATATGTAATCAACATCTTTCATTGAAAAATAAATCTAGAAACTTATTGTTAATGACAGTAGAGTGTTTCATTGTATGGATGAGTTATATTTTGCATAGTTTGTTTACAGTTATCAACTTATAAAGGGCTGCTAGAAACATCCTTTGTACAGTTATCCTAATACTTAAGAATTATTATAATTAAAAGTTCTTAATTCAATAAAACTTAATTTTCATAAATCTATTGACTATTCTTTTACATCCATCCTTTTATCTAAATTCATGGAACACTTCCTTCTCCCTGCTTCCAAGAAAATCTCTTACTGATTTCATTGAGATTGTACTGAACTGCCCTGGCCAGTTTGGCTCAGCGGTCAGAGCGTCGGCTGTGGTCCAGAGAGATTGTACTGAGCCTGTAGATTATATTAGGAAGAAATAATATAAAATTGTGTTTTCTCAACCAAGAATAAATTATATTACTTCATTCAATTATTTAAAACAATTTTTCTCCAGTTATTTTCTTAAAAAATATAATAAACTTAGCACTGGCCAGTTTGGCTCAGCAGTTAGAGCATCAGCCCAAGGACTAATGGATCGTGGGTTCAATTCCCAGTCAAGAGCACATACCTGGGTTGCAGGTTGGATCTCCCGTCATGCGGGAGGCAACCAATCGATGTCTCTCACATCAGTGTTTCTCTCTCTTTCTTTCGCTCCCTCCCTTCCACCCTATCTAGAAATCAATGGAAAAATATTCTCGATTGAGGATTAATAAAAATATATATATATATCACTATAATATGTATATTATAATGTTATAATTATAACTATATGCAATTATAACACATATGATAATAAATATAATATGTAATATATATCATATATAAAACAAACTTGTTCATATATTATATCATTGAAAAATAATAGAAGAGAGAATTTTACTGGCTATAGTTTGCATCATATAGATTATTATACTAAAAAAATCTTCAAATACTTAGCTTTTTAAAAATATTTTATATTTTTTCCATCAACCTTTATCTCTCTGTACCCTCTCCCACCTCCTTTTGTCCTCCTAACCCCCACAAAATCACCATAATGTTTTTTGTGTCTATGACTTCTTTCTCTTTTTTTTCCTTTGTTGCTCCATCCCTCTACACCCTTTGCCTCCTTCCAACCCCCCAAAGCTCTCAGCCTGCTCTCTATCTATGAGTCTGTCTCTAATTTGTTAGTTCAGTTTGTTCAATAGATTCCACATATGAGTGAAATCATGTGGTATTTGTCTTTCTCTGACGGGCTATTTCACTTAGCATAATGTTCTCCAGGTCCATCCATGCTGTTGCAAAGGGTCAATACGGTTGAATAGTATTCCATTGTGTAAATACATCATAGCTGTTTTATCCACTCATCTACTGATGGGCACATCAAAGAAATATCTTCACTTATACATTATTTCAGAATGAATTCAAAAGAAAAGGAGATGGTTATACTAGAAATGAGGTATATTCCATAACAACAGAACAAAACAAGAAAAAGAGCTTCATGAAATTATAGTTTATTGATATAACTTAGTGAAAGTTTTTATTTTAAACATCTTTTTATAATGTAAATAATCTCAAACAGGTACTAACCTGTTGGATCGCTTCCTGTATGAAGGTTTTGCTAGTATTTCTTAATTTTATGACAATACTTTCCTAATTTTATGAGTGTTCAGAGGCCTTTGAGCTATGACGAGGCTTTTAATGAATCATAGAAATAAATCACTGTAAATGTCCCATGGCAATATTGATATTCTAATCTACTGTTTGTTCTTGTTGAGCACAGAGACCTTTAAGTACAGATAAGCATCAGGATTGATGTTAATAACTCCATTTTTACTGTAGTTATTATACATGGGTAGCGCTTTTTACAAGTAAAATGTCCTTTGGTAATTAGGAGATAAATATCATCTTCTAAAATTGCTGCTTTAGGATTAAAAATGTTAGGTTTTACTCTGAAGAATTAGACATGATAAAAAAAAAAAGAGAGAGAGAGAAATCTATAAACTTCTTTTGACAGTAAATGCTTTCATCTTAAATATTTTATTTTCTCCACTGAATTGTTCAAATTTGCAAACGCTAGCTCTGTGTCATGTTCGACTAGCAGACTCTCTCAGGAGTTGTGCAGTCATTGGAAGAAGACATTCTCCTCACCCAGTGGTTGAATCACTGGGAAAAGTGCTTTTCCTTGGTGACCTTTTACGTCTAGTCTGAAACAGAATGCCTATTAAAGTGCAATTAAATTCGTTTGCACGAGCTTCTCATATAAACTGGTTTTAAACAGCAGTTGTGTCTCTGGTAAAGCATTGCCAAGGATATCATCAACTCTGAGAAGTCGTGAAACATGGGATTATTTGGTTTGTTTTGTATTTTAATACAGGGATTATATCCAGTTATTTGCCTGTGAACTGTATGTAGAAAGATGGTTAATAACTTTGAAGCACAAAATTAATAGCTTGTAACCAAGATAAACTAATATAACTCCCACACACTGAGTCTTTATAACAAATTTGAAAAGCAACAAAGATCAGTCAGTGAAGCTTTTATGTTCTTTTTTTGCTGGTTTTTCTCTTTCTTTTTTTTTTCTTTCTCTCTTCTTTGGTGGAAAGGAGCAGTTCACATTTTTAACAAGTCCAGTGAATTTATTTCTACAACATAATAACTCTGTTGATAGCTATAAGGTGAGCTGGCTATGCTATAATTTGAGATTTCACCATTAAATCATTTTCCTTGAAATTGTGATGCTCATATGCAAGAAAGAAGGAAAATAATAGAATTTTGATAAATTATATTTAAGATGCTTTGAATTGCCAGGTGAATGAGCACTCAGTTCTCTTAGCAATAGCTCTGCTCTTAGGTGAAAACAGTGATTTGTTTTCTTTTTTTTTTGGTACTACCAGTTTTTCATGTGGCACAGTACATTCTGTTCACCTCCATTCATTGCAGAAATGAACAGTAGATGTAGTCATCGGGCAAATATATGTTCAGAGTGACAAAAATCAGAATAAAAAATTTGTATTCC